ATATTTATTTATTTATTTTATATATATATTTTAATATTTTTTTGTATATATATTATTATATTATTATATAGTAATTATTATATTATATTCTATTATATTATATTATATTATTTTATTTTATATTATATATATATATATATATATATATAAATGGATACGCGTTGAAATCATCTAATTCAAGAAGAACAATGTTCAACAATCGTTATTACCTCATGGTAATAGGTGATATCTAATTGATTTAAAAAAAAAAAAAAGAAAAGAAGGAAAAGATTAGGTACCGGTGCCAATGAGTCTAGAGCGGTAACAACTCGTTTTCTTATCTTTTTAAGTGCACGCTTCTCTTTTATCGCTAAGTACTTTATTCTCTTTCCATTCGGCTTTGTCATCTTTTTTTTTCTTTTCTTTTTTCTTCCTTTATCATTTTCACGAGCATATCATATTTTTAAGACATGATACGAGATAAGATACTAAGAAGATGTATTTTTAAACCATTTTAATCCGTCGTACGCGTTCAACGTCAATTTTATAAACTTTAATAGTCTTTCTTATCATACGTAACTACAAGTATTGCGTCTAAATGAACAGTTACTTTATTTATTAATAATTTTTCTATTTTTTTTTAACAACTTTAAATGTTTCTTTATGATATTCTTATTATATTCTTATTATATTATAGGTTCGCGTGTTGAGAAAGAACGAATAAAAATAATTTATAGTGTTCGTTCGTAATAGTTATGCAATAATAAAATACTATATACAGTGTTCTTTAAAATGTATCTAAAACAAAAATAAATAAACCAAAGTATTCATTTGTTGTTTCACTTACATCTGATTAAATGTAAACATCGCGAATTTTTTGAATAATATTTATTTACAATAAATCTATATACTGGTAATTACATAATTGTGAGAGTTTTGAAAAATATTCAAATTAATATAAAATCAAACAATATATATTTAAAATTACATTATTATTAGATAACATTATTCAACTTTAAAAAACATTAAATAATATACACTTGACAAATTGTGTTTTGTTTAACTATTTCGTTGTTTCAAAAACAATTTTCTTTAATATAATATTCTTGATTCCTTGCATGATTTTATAATTGAAAATAGAAAAGGAAAGTTTTTATTATATATATCTATAATTCAAAGTCCAGAGAGAAATATCTTATTTACTCAGTAATGTAACAAATTCATTCTGATCTTTAAAACGATGTCATATCATGTTTATATATTAAATATTACTAATAAATAATTATTTATTCTTTTTTTAAATATTCTCATTAGCGTATTTGATCTATATGTAAATGAAGTAAAGTAAAATTTATTTAACTATAAATAGTAAATTAAAAAAATTTAACATATATGTATAATATATAAGACTAATAAAAGACTATAAAAGTTATTAAAAAATTATCTAATGACTCGGAAACATATTAATGAATGTTCCCATTAATATATTCACTATATTTATAAAAACTATGAATGACACTTAAACGCCATCCTCGATTCGAAGTTTTAACGTTTTTTCTAATCTTTAATAGTAATCCAGATATTTCTATGGTTGACCCTTAACGAATGAGCAAATTTTTAAAGATATTTAGTGTTTTATTTGGAAAACGAGAAAAAGTGCATAATTTTCAGTACTAATAGGTAGTATAACAGTATGAACAGATTTGAAATAAACAAATAAATATATGTATGTAATATATAGATTTTTATACATTTATAAATTAATTTTTGTATGGACAATTTATACAAAATTACTTATATTTTTCTTTAGTATGGAACTTCTTTAGGGACGGGAACAATGGCGGGATTTGGTATTTGCGGCAATGAACTTTCAAATTCCTAATGCCAGTTAATAATAATAATGAAACTTCTTTTAACAGTCCCTTATGTGGATATAAGGTTTTCTTTAGTACAATTATCTCAATAATTACGTGTCTAGTTAAAAAATCTATATAATAATGCATCCAAAAACAATTGCCGATTGCCTCTTATTGTAACATAATAATTAAGGCAGAATTTACAGTGCATTTCCTAAAATATCATATCATTTCAAAATAACATGCCTGAATGGCAGCATTTCATTATTTTAGAATATTTAATATGTCACAAGTATGGCGGCATTCATTTGTTAAGGGTCAAGATTGTTTCTCGTGACGTAAAAATGAAAGAAATGTAAACGGAAAGCATGATGATAGAAGAGGTAATACGAAAAAAGTACTCATCGTCATCACCTAATTCGCTCATTGGTTGGAAATGACGCAAGTAATATCCAATGAAAGTACAGGATAATAAGTAAAGACTATCGGTAAAACAATACGATATTTGATGTAAGTAGTTATTGTAAGATATCATCAAATCATTAACAGTTGGTAAGTTACCATCAGACTTCCAAATAAATTAATTACCACTGAAAACTAGATGATTGTTTTTTAAATGTTGATTTCTCTTTCACTATACAGAATATTTTCATAAACTTTTTACTATATTAAATGAATCATAATTAAAATAAATCATCACTATTGTTATTTTTATTATAAGCATAGCGAAAATATTCTGCAGGAGAACAAAATGATTTATCTTTAAGATGATTACTTGTGGCTTCGCAATATTTCATACATGCTCTTTGATAATTTTGCGACGATGATAAAATTATAATATTTTCAATATCCGGAAACTCAAACTTATACTCGATCAATTTTTCTCTAAGTGCCACATTTGTTAAAGTCTTGAATGGACAACCATAACGTTCTGTTGGTTTTAATTCTACATTCATAATTTTCTCACATGAATGACACTTGTAATTTTTGTGTGCTTTATTTTCGCCATATAAAAATTTTAATCGATACGCATGATCTTTTTCAAACCTTTTTATACTCATTATTTTAGTAAATTCTTCTTTCCATAAACGCATAGCCTCTCGAAGAGAAACTCCAATACTTCTTAAAAATAAAATATACTGTAAACGTGCTCCATGCTCAAGATGATGATCTTTTCTTAAATTTTCATGAATCCATCTCATACAAAGTGGATAAGCCGATGATAACAAAGAGTCCAATTCATTTACAGATGGACCATTGTAAACTTGTATTGCATATTTCCTTTTCATAATAAGATAATTATTGATGGTATCAAAGATTTCTTTTAATTGTAAATCTATGAGTGCAATGTTTGCATCTTTTACATTTCTTGCAATTTCTGCATCTTCTGCATTTAAAATTATGGGGTTGTACCCAGCTAATAAATTTTCTTTAAAATAACAAAAACATAATCCGGCTAATTCTTTTTCAGGTACAAAAGCAATACCACTTCTAAGAAAAACTCTGCGCTGTGCAACTAAATCTAAAACTTCTTGAAATGGTACTTTGTAAAATTCCATACTTTTATTTAAATTACTCACTTTAATAAATTCTTCTAAATCGTTTTTCTCTTCTTCAGAAATACCATTAATTTGGATATTGTTAATGATACAAAATTCTTTTATCTCTTCGACAGAAAAAGTCGACGATTTCCAAAGAAAAAGTTTTAGTTCCTGAATAATAAGCCATTTTTTATGCTGTGGAGGACAAAGTGTTTTTAAAATAAAATGAGAAACATTATCAAGTATTCTTAAAGATGTTATTTTTTCCTGTATTGTCAATTTGCTAGGACCATTTATAATATTGAAAAATGAATCATAATTGTTTCTATCCAATTCACTTAATAACACTTTTTTACATTGACGAGCTGTCCTTCCAGATCCAATTTTCATATATATCTTCTCCACAAGCAGTAAAACGTCTATTCGTTGTAAACATATCAATTTTATTTTGCTTAGATGAAAATTTCCAATAGGATATGATTTGTAAAATTGTAAATCATGCGAATCATATTCTGTAGGATTCGCAGCAGACATATCCGTGTTACATTAGTAGCTGTCATTTTGAAGATAATAACATTTAAAAAGATGTAACAGAAACACAGCAAGCTAACCACTTTTACTACTTTGATTTTCAATTGACTATTATTATAAAAGAAAAAGTGATACGCGTTACAAATAATTACAAATATTATATATTTAATTATTGCACTGCGTATAACCTATAATATTGATTTGTTGTCATTTTAAAATTGACAAGCGGAAATAAGTTTGTGAATTTTAAATCTATGTGTGTGGACGTCATCTCCGCCAGAGCCCCATTGGTTGTTTATTCCGCGGCAATATTTAAAATTGATAATTGTAATTATTTTATTTTTTAACAACTAGATAGTTTTTATTAACTTTTATGAACTTATATTATTCCTAAGAGTCTATAAAATATGTCGAGCATCAACAAGTTTACAATTTATGTCTAGAAAATTAATAAATTTATTATTTAATAACTGATAAGTACTGGTATAATTTAAATAGCTTATTATTTAACAATTACATAATTTTTTATTAGCTTTTGTGAAGAAAGAGTTAAAAATATATGCAGGTACAAGCGAGATCAGAAGAATGTGAAATAAGGACGCAAGTTTGTACTTGAAAATATTCGCACAAATAAATTATTCAACTGGATGAAAATTGAATATATTTTAGCTATTTATTCATTAATTATGAGCTATTATGAGCTATTATGACTCGACTTCTTTGTAGTCCTCGATAAGCGCAGCAGTATCATCTATAGCGTCTTGAAAGACTTTTTCTTCCATACCTTCACCAACGTAGTGATGGACAAAAGCTCTTTTCCGATACATCAAGTCAAATTTCCGTCCAATTTTCGTCCAAGCGTGTCGGATTGCAGTGTTATTACATAACATTGCTACAGTTCTTTCGGAATAGGCTAAATCACCGCCAGGAACCGTCGTGGACGGTTGATAATTGATTCCTACCTAAAATAATAAAAACAATTAGTTGAAATTCTATGGTAATATAATACGAACAAAAATGATCCTTAATTTTACCTTAAATCCTGTTGGGTTCCAACTAACAAATTGTATGAACCTTTTACCCTTTAAACTAGCAATGGTCTTATTAACATCACTTGGGCTTACGTCGCCGCGGTAAAGCAAACAGCAACTTATGTAAGCACCCGTACGAGGATCGCATTTGACCATCTAAAAAGCGATATGTCAAAAGAGAAAGTTATATCATTTGTATATTTTCTCGTCCTACTTTAATCTTGCTATATTTTTACTTGATTGGCAGGCTCGAAACAATCGTATGTAATTCGTTTAACGGACATCAATGTATTAATTGCTCTTTCAGGTGTCGTTATAGGAGCGTAAGTTACCAAAGGAAAGTGAATTCTTGGAAAGGGTACTAAATTCGTCTGCAACTCCTCTAAGCTAACGTTAACAGATCCTTCGAATCTCATTGACGCTGTTACGCTCGATACTATTTGAGCTTGCAATCGATTGAGATTCGTATAAGTTGGATTCTTCACATTCAAATTCCTACGCATATAAATGAAAAGATGTAAGTAAAAGATATTTCATGAATACAAGAAGGTATAAAGTAATGAATGAAAGAAATTAAAACCTCGCACAAATATCGTATAAAGCTTCATTATCTACGATGAAACAACAATCCTCATGATCTAAAGTCCCATGAGTTGTCAATATGGAATTATAAGATTCGACGATTGCCGTGGATATGTTTGGTGCTGGATAAACGGCGAAATCTAATTTTAATTTTTTACTATAATCTCTGTTGAGATATTCTAGCAATAAAGTAGTTAACCCGCTACCAGTCCCACCACCAAAGGATCTACAAAATAAATAAGATACGTTTCTCACTATTCGTCTTTAATATTGTTAATGCTCGAAATTAAATAGGAATATTTATACATAGTAAGTTAAATTTAGATTCTACCTGAAAACAATGAATCCGGTTAATCGAGTACAAGCTTCGCAGGTGGATTGAATACGATCTAGAACAAGATCGATTATCTCTCTGCCGATCGAATAATATCCTCTTGCAAAATTATTCGCTGCATCTTCCTTCCCAGTTATTAATGATGAAGGATCAAAAAGATTTCTGTAAACACCTATTCTGATCTCGTCCACCACACTTGGTTCTAAATCCACTATCACAGTACGAGGCGAATATTTTCCTGTCTAAAGGATCATACCAGTTAATATTACATATATATTAATATTATATGTATTCTTACATCTAGTGATATCTCACCTGGGTGGGTCCAAAGAACGTATGATAACATTCGTCGATAGGACTGTATCCCCGTTGAAGAAAACCATCAGGTCTCAGACCATGTTCAAGGCAGAATAATTCCCAACAAGCACTTGCCACTTGAGTTCCAGCTTGACCAATGAAAATGGTGACCACTTCACCGTTCGTGTTCATCCTTTTTATTTATTTTCCATTTTTTTTTCAATTTCTGAATAGCTTGTACAATAGAATTTTGAAATAATCTTAGTGAGAAAACAATAAATGTATGAGCAACATATTTTCAAGAGAATTTAGGAGGTTCGCCGAGAAGATTTCTTTAACGAAACATCGTAACTAAATTAATAAGGACGACTATTGTAATTTATTTATTTATTAAAGTTACGATCATCATTGTGACAACTGATGATGATCAGCATTGAAGTATAATGCTATAGTTCAATAAAAAATCGAAGTATAGGTGACTTTTTTTTACATTAGTCGATTATTTCTAACTCGAAGATAATAAACGATATAATATGAAACATATGAGATAATATTATGAAGATAAAAGCGATAATACGTCGTTACAATATTCGTTAGCCAATTGTTTTGCAGTACGATTTTTCTTATCGACGATAGACAGATCCGAACGTGGAATTAAAATTTGACAAATGGAAACACGAGCAGCAATAATAGCTCTATGCAGAGCGGTATATTCATCAGCGTCCTTCAAATTTGCATTAGCGCCATACTTTAACAAAATTTCAACGACATGATCGTGTCCTTGTGTAGCTGCTCTATGAAGAGCAGTTGCTTGGCCGCAACGCGTTTTAGCGTTTACGTTAGCTCCATATTTTAACAACATTTCACAAATCTGATAATGTCCATTTCGAGCTGCATAGTGAAGAGCAGTATATCCAGCTGAATCTTCGAGATCTGCTAAAATTCCTTTTCTTAAAAATCCTTCTACTTTGTCTTCATCATTATATTGAGCTGAAAAAGTAATATTTAATTGAAAGTTTATTTAATAATAAATAAAATTGTAAAGAAAGTCATTGAACTCACCTGCATGCCATATGCCTCGCTCGAATTCGATCTCAGGCAAGGATTGATAAACATCCAAGTTGGCGGATAAGTCGCAGCAAGATTCTACTCCTTTCTTATGCTTATTTTCCTTCGCCATATTTTCTTTAATCTGAAACTTATTATAAGACTTTTAATTGATATGTTTCAATTGCGCTGATTTATTTATTATAGTATAATAATTAACTTAAACGTGTATGTAAATATACATTTGAAAAAAAGAAATAGATTTCTTGAGTTATTGAAAAAATTCAAATACTTTTTAATATGTATACACATACGATTTAATTTCTTCAATAAGGAATAGAATACATGGATTTTAGGAATTATAGAATTCCATAGAATCGAAGGTACATGAATATATTTATTTATATATATATCTAATAATAATAATTATTATAAGAAAACAAAAACATACAAAATAAAGTTAAATTATTAATAATAAAATAAATTTAAATTATTTAAATATAAACCATGTGCTTTGTATAATAATATAATAAATCACCAACATTGGTGTTAGAAATATCCATTTTAATTGTAGGTACATTTTTTAATAATGATCGCTTCAAAGGAAAAATTATTATAACAACGATAAAAACTGACGAATCGATGAACATTATAAATATAAGTTACTTAAAATACTCTTTCTATACATAGAAATGATTTTTTTTTTCTATACATTGGTAAAAAATCTATAAATTTGCAAAACTTTAATTCAACATTAACAATAAAAACTTTATTTTTCAAATAATAAAGATATACAGCAAATAGAGGAATCATCATTTTTATTTAGTTTCTTAACTATCGAAAATTTATTTTATTTTGATTATTTTGAACGCATGTGTGCCTTTTTGTCTTATTGAATCATCATTAGATACGATCTAAAGTCTAAGAGACATACTCGGACATTATTCGTATAGAAAAATTCGCTCAGTTGCTAGTTAATATTACTAGATCCATTGGAAAACTTATTACATACAAGTACTTGAATTCACTTTAATGAGTCTAAAAACATTCAGCAACAAAATATCTTTTTTTACGTTATAATATCATACATAGGCGTCGTTATACAATCATTTAACAATTCCATTTTCTGTATATTTATCGAATTATGAAAATAGGCTAAACTCTGTAGTTATTTTTTCTTTTTGTAAGAAAATGTATAAAAAGTATCTATCATTGTATTAATCGAATAAAATAATGACTAAAATATTTACTAAAAAATAGTTACAAATTGAATGTACTTTTTACAAATAACAATTTGTTATGTTTGGTCCGTACATATTTATTATCAAATGCTTATACTGATAAATTGCTAGAGACTAATTATCGGCAGACATAAATAATAAAAAGTGAACGATCATCTATTAAATCTACAAAATAAAAGGTAGATAATTTTTCTCCAATCTTCTTTGATGATTACATTAATATTACATATTGCGCACAAACTACCGGTGTGTATCTTTATATGTGCATATTTTTGACTACAAGCAAAATCCTTAAAAATATTTTAAACTTCTCGTTGCAACGTCCAAAGAATTTCAGCTTCTCCGGTACTACAAATAACTCGATAGCCTAATTCAGCTAAGGCATTAATAACTGAAAAAGGTCGTCCTAAAAAAAAATGGTTAACAATAAGTTACAGTGTTTTTAACTATTAAAAAAAAAAAAAAAGTTATTGATATATTTAATTTTTGTCATAATTTTAAAATAAATATATAAACTGTTGTTCTTTTTGAATATAGGAAACTTTAGATGAACCTTTGATCAAAGCGCCATTGACCACTGTCGAAGAGGAGCTTTGGAAACGTTTGGTAAGTGCCAATAGTTCGTCCGGTGATAATTCAAAAACAGATGATTCGGTTGCATATGGCGATCCTCTCACGCCAACGTAATAATAAGTTTCACTCGCAGCGGCATTAACCCATTTTTCAGGCACTGCACTGACCACCTCCGTCATAGTGTCAATAGTACTTTCATTAGACTTCGCCATCTTTTCCTTCTAAAAAAAAATAATTACAATGTGATGAAAAAATAATGAAAGATTTTTCATATTTCTATGTCTTCCCTTCTCTGAATACTTTTCTATGGAGACAATCAAATTATTATATACAGGCTCATTTGTGCAAGGTACAATGATATAATGCAATAAACTTGAGGCGAGTTTGTTTAATTTTAAATAATCTTCATAAATTGACAGAAAAATACTTTACAGAAGTAAGAGTTATAATGAATCAATACTATATTAACAGAGCATTCATTATTATATAAAAGTTTGTATAAATTAATAACATCAAATTTTGTTTTGCTCGACTAATCTCCTTTCATGTTCCTCTTGTAATTGCATCATTCGCATTTCATAAGCCCAACGTATTTCACTTTGAGTTTTGTCTCTTTCGTATTCCCACTGAAATTTTTCCAATTCCAAAGTCTTACGACGTAGCTCCAATTCAGCAGATTTTCTTAATGCCTGGCTCTCCAGTAATCGTTCTTGATATATTTTACTTTGTATAGATGAATATGTAGTATCACGCATAGACATAAGTGGCCATCGTGAAGTTCTTCTCGATGGTAGGAATTTTTTATGACGAATAGAACTCGTATGTTCTTTGGATTCATCTGTGAAATCATTTAAAAAAAGAAATGTTTATATCGTTAAATAAAATCATTTTATTTTTATAATATATTATATTTTGAAATTACCAATTTTAGTTATCTTTATATTAGTCTGATTCATGTCTTTAGCTTTTACAGTTGCATTTGTATCAATTTTGACACTTTGAACATTAGTGTCATGATTCGTGTGTGATTTATCCTTCGATTGTACTATTACTTTCTCGTCGTGTTGGATTGTTTCTGATATTTCATCCATATAATAGCGATTTTTATAATACCAATCTTCTAGATCTTCCAACTCAATATCAGTAACACGTTCCATCGAAGATTCTTGTTTTCGTTGTTTCTCATTGACTTTAATGCCAAGAATATTGGCTTTGTTTTTTTTATCATTTCTCACTTGTACAAATTGTCGTTTAATTTCTTCTGGACACTTTTCACAACGTTCCAAATGTCTTTCCATACGCGCTGCATTTTGTTTATAGGAACGATCACAAAATTTACAAAAAGCGACGACTTGAGAACCATCGATTTTTTTGTTATAATAATTCCACACAATATCACACTTTTTCACCATTTTTATTCCATGTAATCTTATTATTAACCATTAACACAGAAATATTTGATTTTTTTAATCTAACAAAGCCAACAATAGCTTATTGTTTCCAATAATAAAATGTAAATATCATAAGTGATAACCTCAAAACGAGAGATCTATAATCGAAGATTTTTCTCATTATTGAAGTTTGCATTTTTTATATACGACTCATTGTACTTTTACAGAAAGATAAGAAGACAAATTTATTCTTTCGAAATATAATTTGACATTGCAAATAAATCATGAACAGTACGCAATTATAGAATTAATTAACGTATAACGAAGAAGTCTACGCGCTTGTCTCCCCTATGCGTGTAATTCGTTTTATCGATCGTCGAGGTTAAAATTACAAATTCAAATGATGTGAAAAAGATAAAGATGGATGATATTCATACCTGTTGTTTTTCGTTACCACTTCTTTCCATTTTCACATTAATAGCACTTCTACCAGTCAATAAGTTCATACGACGAGTGACGCATTACACTCGTGAATCAAATTTCGTTCAATACTATACGCGCTATTATACACGTAGTACTATTTAAATACGACATGAACTAGATTCGCAATAAAAATTAATGAAAAATATACGGGAATTGTAATAACAAATTTAAAAACAAATCGATAATTTTCGGAAATGCGATTGCTCTTTTAATCGAAATCATAGATAAATGAATTATTTTACTTTCGTTTGTATCACGTTGTTGCATGACACGTGATAATTTCTCTTCATTTATAAACCAATGAAAAATGACAGGTATATCATTTTAATGTCAAGATTATATAGAAAAACAGATTATTTATTTTATTTTCATTAGTTCAGATAAGATATGATATATACTAAGCAGTTATAATATAATTTCATACAAATGATGTTCTGTCATTACTTATACTTTTAATGTGCTACTTGAGAAAAGATACTATATATTGCTATACTAACATTGAAAATTTTATTTAAATTTGTAGAAACGTCAGTAGGGAGTGTCATTTAACATTAACATTGTTATTATAAACAGTATGCTTGAATCGACATTGCGTTTATTAAATTTTCATTTACTCTACTGGTCAGGACGATTGACAGTGTTAGCTCAATCCTGCATATCAACGATTCTAAATGTATATTATTTTTCTTAGTATAACGAATAGTTTTTATTACTAATTAAAACAGTTATCTCTTAACAATTACTTAAGACGATCTAAATATTTGATAACTTATTTTGGAATGTTTATTTGGTTAATGAACATAGACAATAATTTGTTGCTATGTTAGAACACATATATGTTGTATAATTTTTAAATTCGATAAATAAAAGTTTATAGAAAGAAATCTATTAATAAGACTTACGTGTTTTTATAACAAGTTCAGGTTCAGGTTCTGAGAAATCTTTTCTCATAGTCCACATATATTCATTGTAGTCTTGTTTGACACTAGTACTCGAAGATGCCACAACCTTATATCCAAGAACTTCCAGAGCAGTTAATATTATACAAGGGTGTTGTAAGTACACTATCGTTGAATCGTCGCAGTATCCTCCAGAAGCGAAGTGAGTAAGTTGTTCTATATCCGATGCTAACAAATAATTTATCATTGTAGTCTCATCTACTATTGAAGAAAAAGGTTACACAGAAAGTATTACCTTTGAGTCCTGATACTAGAACTCTCCACGGATATCTATGACTATAAGATGCTAAATTACCACGCACTAAAATGTATGGCATCTGTGATAGTTAAAGCAAATGCTGGAGATACGTTGAACTACTTCTGTTCATTAACTTTTCTGTATATAATACTTTAATTAATATTTATAAATTTTAATCCGCTGAAACATAAAATAATTAATATTTATAACTCTCGCATACATTGTATAATATATAATATTTTTCTCATATTAACTATTAAAATAAAATACTAATTAGCAAATACTATAGATAAGAATATTTCAAAAGTAGCGGATGTAATTCATTGGAAGAATCGATATTTATATATATACTTCCGCCTGTTTAAAATCTTGATCGAGTAATTTGCTTACATACGCTATATTTAAAGATGTTTCGTAATGTACAGAGAACAAGAAGTGTTTCTTACATCAAGAAACAAGAAACTTTCACTTTATTAAACACGTTAGAAGAGTATAATTTATTAATCAAAATTTCATGTTCTTATACGAAATCTTGAATAGTGGATATTTCATATAATTCCATAAGATGCACAATGGTATACACGGAGCCCATATACTTTCCACCGGTACCTTTAATTTTCTCCGATACGTTTATATATGTAGAGACATAAATTTCTCTTTTTACATATATATATATATAGTATACACCTTGCCAAAGTCATAGACGCACGTACAAGAGTTACCTTTTAAGAGCGCTGAATTCAAATATAAAAACAATCAACATCTGGACAAGCGAATTTGTGACGCATTAAATATTACAAATCTAAAAGGAAGAAATCTACTTGTTAAAAGAAATGAAGATTATATATGATATAAATAAATATATATTAAATTAGGCAACTAATTCGAAATATAATTTAACAGGACGAAAAATAAGAAGTCGATTGTCATTGCAGAGGCCTCCACGTGTATTGATATAACGCGGTATTTGGATTGGTTAAGCGAAAATAAATTGAACCAATAAGAATCAACTACAAGGTTACCATTGAGAAAAAGCATTTAAAAATGTGGGACAAGAATAAATAAAAATGAGAACATTCCGTTTGTAAAATAAAATTACTCTAATTATAGTAAAGAATTTAGTTCAATGGAATTGGAACATGTATATACAAATATATTAGTTTTCTTTATGTTTTTTTTAACTGAAGTATTTCCTCAATGCATAATATTTTTGTACTTGATAATGAACTAAGAAGGAATCGTACGTATTCGTTAAAAATCGTTCGTTTTCGTGGGTCGAATCATATTCGTCGAGGTCGTGTTGAGATAGCAAAGTGTTGCCACCTGGCGGAGTACCTTCTTTGCGGGCAAGAGAATAGTGTGTTGCGTGTACTCAGTCGTTTCACAAATACCGCGAGTGGTTTGTGTGTTGAGCCCGGCCGCGTTTTTTCGCGAAGGTAATTCGTTTTCTGGGCGGAAAGTAATCATTTTTCTTTGAATAATAGATCGTATTGGATATGCGTGCGAGTTTGCATATCCTATTATTGTAAGTTCGTGCCTCGAAGGAGTATAACGGTTTTGTTGAAGAAAATCTACGCTCGTACGACGGTGGTGCCTCTCGGTCGAGTGTGTGTGACAATCGCAAGCAATGTAACCGTTCCGTGACGTCAGACACGGCTAATCAAGTGCACACACGGACAGTAGATTTGCGCACTCGCGCACATCTATACATTGGCGACACGTACTCTCCACGCCGCACCGCGCCACGATCGTAGAGAGCGTGTACGGGATCGTGCTGCGCACGGAGATAAAAAGAGAGGGAGGCAAGGAAAATTGTACGGTAGCACCGCGACTGATAGAGGAAAGAAAACGAAGGGCGTGGAGGGGAGAGAAGGAATACGAGAACGATAAGAAAGGAGATACGACGAAGGTTGTCGAGGAGAAGAAACACCAAGGAGAAAGACAGAGACGAACGTCTCTCTTTCTCATCCATCGAAAGAAAGACATGGGCGGACTTGAAACGACGAGAGAAAGGCCTTCCTTCTCTACAACTTCTCTTTTTTTCAACGAGGCTGAAAGTTATGTCGGGCGATGCCTCTCTATGTAGAATGCATATATTTTGAGCTTCTATATAACATATAAGAGAGAAGTTTTTTTTTTTTAATGCTAATCGTTGAGTAAGAAGGACAAGAAAAGAGCAGTAGTGCAGGAGTGCGAAACACGGTGTTGTATACGGTGTGTATACGGTGTATGTCGTCGTAGTGCTCGCGTGTGGTGTACTCGATAATAGGAGTAAGAGAGATAGACGGTGACGGGAGTGGGAAGGAGGTGGGGGAAAGTCTTTACCGTGCTGCTACTGCTGCTGGTCAGTGGAGGGGAGAGCGCGAAAAGGAGAGCCGCGGTCGCGTCTCGTGGCGCCCCGCTGTGCTTTTCTGCAGAAAACTGTTGCAACCTATACGGCTCCGTTCCATCCTTCTGGCGTTAAAGGTGGACGTAGAAGAGGCTGAGAAGTGAAGAAAGTAACGAGAAACGTATTTAAGAATGTGCTCGAAAGATTGAACGATTGCGGATTTTAATAGGAATGCACGTTGTGTTGTGATAAAAAGAAACATCCAAAGGAAGAACGTCTTTTTCGTGTTCGTTTTCGCGAATTAATTGTCTGAAGTGTGCGTTATTTCGTGTGTGCGAGAATCGAAGAAGAGGAGAGTGTACGACGTTGTCGTCATAGTCGATAGAGGCCGATATTTACGCGTGCGTCCGTTAAGATATAACTGGAAAATGGTCTTTTCAATGGATGACGAGTGCTGTCTTTAAATTTTAAACGAAAAAGACAAAGAGGAAGAGAGAGAAAATCTTACATCGTCTCTCTTCCTTTCTTCTTCTTTCTGTGTTGTCGTGTCGTCGTCGCGTGTGTTTTTATTTTTTTTTCTCGGTACAAGATTCGTTCGTGTTTGTTACTTGTGTATGTGACTAAACCTTTTACGACGAAGCAGCACAAAGTTAGAGAAAGAGAGAGAGGGAGAGTTTTTGTGTGTTAGAGAAAAGTCTTTGGGAGGTGCCGTCTTCTTATCCTGACATGGAAGAACGATTCCTATTCCCGACATCGATGAGCAGCATCTACGTCGGTAAGAAGCTGTTTTTTGCGTCGTATTTTGCTTTTGATATCATTTTAATATCGTATGCTATTTGATACTTTATTAAAAAGTTTCTACACGCGTATTTATCCTTGTTTCCTCTATCCTCGTCTACTAGTTTACTTATTTAGTGTTATTATCATTTTTGTCCTTCTTAAAAAAGCGAATTATCGTGTACATAACCTCTCTTTTTCTTTCCACGAGTTGTCAACTCGATGAAGCCTTCTAGCGTGTGTAGCTACAAAAATGTCGAACATCGAACGTTTGTAGAATAAGTAAAGAGAATTAGTCGAACGAAGAAACGAAGGTGAAAACTAACATTACTTATATGTGAATCTTTTCAAAAAGTTTTCATATTTTTTTAACATAGATATTAAAAATAATTTGAAATAAAAACGAGGTTAAATGAGATTGTAATTGGAAAATTGAGATATCGTAAAAATCATTCGAATTTGAGGTTATGCCTCAACTTAAAGTTTAACTCAAAAATCGAATAACATTAGATTTTAAATCCCGAACAGACAAAAGATAAGAACATTTCAAAGACGGAACTGTCAAGGTTTTATAAACGTTGTAATTATTAAAAAAAAAAAAAAGAAACAAAGTGAGACAACATTGTTCAACGTAAATGAGAAGAAAGAGATCCAAAATCTCGGGGAAAAAAGTATGCGCGCGACGATTCTCACTCTCTCTTTTCTCTTCCTCTCCCTCTTTTGCTGTCCGTGCCCCTTCCCTTCGTGCCCCTGGTCCTTCTGGCGAGACGAAGCTTCGTGGAATCGAAGAACGTAGCCAGCCACCTTCGCATGGCCAAATGCGCATGCCCCGCGCGTTAACGTTATGAGATATAGAAGTTTGCAAACGAAGAGAGGCGCGTCACGAAACGTTCATTCGATCATTCGTTTTAATCGTTCACTCGTGTTCATTCATTCGCACGTTTTCATTCGTTCACGAGAGTTCGAAAAGCGAGTCGAATTCGAAAAATTGCTGTGCGTGCGATTATTACGAAAGAACGTTAACTACGTTCATGTCACTCGAGACATTTATTTCCAAGAGATTTCTTCTTTATCTCTAGATAACGATTCATCATCGTTACAATTACCCCGTATATATATTCTCTTTGTTGTCAAAGATCTTACATAATTACTTTGCATTGTTTACCCTTTATAACCCATTTTTTCTTTTTACGCGTTTAAATCAAAAATGTATATGAACTTTATCGTGTCATTTTTTTAATGCCAAAATTGTCACAATTTTATAATTAAATAAATAATAATAATTTAGTATATTGATGGATTACCAAATAAGTGTATATTGTCTATATTTGTAATATATATATATTTTAAAAGAGAAATGTATATTTGACTCTTATAGCTTAATGTACTTTTACATGCATGTTTAAGTATTAATTTAACGCTAAAAATGTTAATCTATTTTTAATCAGTTTAATAGAAAGAAGAAGAAGAAAAAAGTATTATTTGCTTATTATTCCGAATAAATTTTGATTTATCGATAATACGCAAAAAAAAAACAAGAAATAAAGAAAGAGAAAAAAAAGGGGAAAATTTTCAGTTAACATTTATCTAATCGTCATAATTTCGATAATTGTAAAAAGAGTAGTAGGGAGTTTATAGCGTTTCAAATTAAACGACATTACAGAGAGGGATGTTACAAATGTGCGAATAAAAAAATGATCAAGACGGAAAGTTGCCACAGGTTCGCTCAGTTTTATGTAAAGATTCAAATTCGGGTCATCGTTGTTGCGATAGAGCAATAAATGGCCCACTTTTCGAAATCCCTCGAGTAGTAACGAGTTCACAACGATAACGTTCTATTTCGTGGGTAGGCATTGAATTATATCTTTCTGAAAATATCTAGATTTTATGTTTAAAATGTAATTTTTTTTTTGTTTTTTTTTTTCTGTTTTGTTTAATAAAATTCATCTTATTACGGTGACTTGTATGTAATTTATGTATACATATCGATTTTAGATGACTCGAGGTCGATAAACGAGGGCATTCGGCTTAACAATACGCTATCTGGCAGATAATAATTTCTTATCGTAGCAATGTTTCGTTGGTAAAGATATGTTCTTTTCTTTGAGAAATATGTTAATCACGTGGAGAGACGATAGACATTTTTTTTTTTCATTCCTACATATTATAAGTCTGTTGTGTAATTTTTATTTCATTTTGTTTTGTTTTATTTTGTTTTTTCGTATATAACGTGTAAAATAAAATCACGTCAATCTTGAATTATGAATTAAAGTTTATTGTTTAACCCATTAACTGCCAAATTATTTTTTGTTTCAGAAATATTTATATTTTTTAAAAAGTCTATGGCTGGTTGCACGAAACAAACTAATAAGTGACTATTATTTATTTCTTTTATTATTATCCTATACATACAAAATAGCTATTATTATGCCATTTTTCCATACAGTCCATATAAAACCGAGTGGTGTACGTAAAATTTCAAAATTCCCAAATGGGGATCGTGGCAGCTAATGGGTTAATTTAACAAAATATTTTATTCAAGACAGAAAATACGTCTAATAAGTTTGAAGTCATAACGAAACACATAATATTTGTATATATATATATATATATATACATATACATATACATGTAATAATAGTATTATAAGGCTAGATTATCTATAATTTCTTCATCAAGTAATTAACTAAAATAGAAAACGAGGAAGAAAGATGCTTTATAGTCATGTAGAAGACTACGTCAAAGGATATTTTTTTTCTTGTAAGATGTACTTTTCTAGGAAAGATTTTTTAATATATTTTTTATTTTGATAAGGTTATAATAGATATTGAATATAGCTATTAACGATATTTATACGAAGATGAGTAAATAATATTATTACTTAAGAGACCATCTCAGTGTAAGCGGCCAAAAAATTGTTAATTTTCGTGATTTTTTTTCGGGTGGATAGGAGGAGGGGATCGGGATGTTTTTTTTTTCCCCGAATAAGACCACTCTTTAACAATACAAAAATATTTTTTTCATTCGTTTTTATTTATTTTTACTTATTGTTAATAATTATTTTAAAAAGTCAATAAAAAAAAGTGGGGGCAATCGGTGTCAACGATTGTGGTTGCAGTTTGCATCTCAAAGTAAAAAATCAAATTAATTATTAATCTGTAGGGAAGCCGCTATGTCCCTATGGAGGTATTTCTTTTTTTTTTTTTGAAATTTGACAAAATGGCGACGGTTTGAAAAAAAAAAGTACTAAATTTAGCCCTGTTTTTCAACAGTTTTTCGTGTGAAAAAATAGGAAGAATTAAAAAAAAAAATCCATAGGGACATAAAGAATAAAGTAAAAAAAATTCCGTTAAAATTTCAAGTCGATAGCTTGAAAACTCTCCCTCTGAGAGGTGACACCGTTTGTTAAAAGGGCATTTTGAGAAAAACGCGTTTAAAGTTTAGCGTACGTCAACTTACGCTCCAATCTCTTCTTCCAAGAAAGGTTGTAGCGACCGTAATAATTCGAATTTAAATTTGACAATTGTACAGAACACGCACAACTATATGTACTTCAAGATAAGACCCAAAAAAAAATCGATTTTTTTTAAATTTTACACTGAGATGGTCCCTTAAGAAAAAGTCATTTTCAATTTATTGTTTTATCTTTTTATACGAGAATAAAAATAAAATTATTATTCAATCCTTTTTCGATTGTAATAGATACAAAACAGATATCTGTCTTCATTTAAAAAAACATATTTGAATAAGCGTAGAAATATTGATATTGTAAATTGTCGTAAGGAAATAAAATGAAAAATAAGTCCATCGTATAATGCGACAAATATTTAGCTGATATTTGATAGCATTGTTCGAATTCACAATGTGGATCTGTTGCATATCACGATCCATTCGTCTTACATCAGTGCTCTTTATAAAAATGAGTCTTACTTTTAAATTTCTTTTTTGAAATAAAATATTAGGTGGTTCGGAAAGTTGAAAGTTTTGTTTTTCTTTTGTAAAAATGAAGACAATTTTTGCTTCGAGGTTAAACCTAAACCTTTCAAGTGGTCATAAATAGTTGAATTTGATAAATTTAACCTCTCATCGATCTCATGTATTACTATTTGTCGGTTTGCATCAACTAATGCCATTATTGCGTTAGCAAAAAACGAAACGAAATTTCAGAATTTTTCAATCATTGCATATATCGTTCAATTTAGAATTGAAAATAAACGTATATGTTTTATTATATAGACGACCAAAACAAAAAAAAACAAAAGAAAAAAACAATGTAAATGTAAAAATTGATTACAATAATTCATCGACTGACGAATTTTGTTCTTTTTCTCTTTTAGAATCGATCGACGAAACGTTAAGGTTTCGATCAACAAACAGAAGAGAATTAGAATACCGTAGAGTATAAGGAAAAAAAAGAGGTGGATAAGTTGAAGGGTGGTGGAGGGTGGTGAAGAGAGAGTCACATTGTCGTCGTCGAGGAGTTCGATGATTGAAAATTATGTTCAAACTGAATGTTACGGGAGTGGCGAAGAAGAAGAAGAGAAATTCTATCGGGCTATTTTGCTCGTGTAGGGAAAAAGGGATCGAGGAAAAGAAGAAGGAAGACGAAGAGCACGTTTCCGGCTCTGTCTTCGTCCTCGTCATCTTCGTCGTCATCTTCGTCGTCATCTTCATCGTCGTCGAAAACGAAAGATTTAACAATTGCCGCGAATTTCGTAGCGGCTGCTGTTACTCTTCTTTTATTATCTTCCTTTCTCATCGAGACCAAAAGGAAGAGAAACAAGAGAAGAAGAAGGATACTGGTGAACTTTGATAAACGGGAGGCCAACGAGAAAGTGAGATAGGCCTCCTCACACTTTACAACCAATAATATCGTGAAAAATAATAGAGAGAAAAAAAAACTCAACAATATTGGAAGTGTTACGGAAGAAAGTAATAGTTTTGGTGAAAACACGTGTTACCTATTATTTTCTTCAAAAATATTACTATTGTTATTAT